GGATCTGTTATGTTCTGGATTTATTCTGCTGCATCTGGAACAGGGCGTCTTAAATCCGTGCAGGGTACAATGAAATCTCAAGATGACCAAGGAATTGGAGAAAGTGTCGGAAAGTCACAGCTAAAAACACCCCTAGGTGGCTCATTGAAAGTTACAAAATCACTTGAATGCAAAATGTTGTGGAAAAAAGGCTACCATCATTTTTGTCCGAGAGTGTTTCATGACCTTGTTTTTGTTTTTTTTTGTCTTTTTTAAATAATTCTGTTGAACCCCAATTCAAAAGCAATATTTGATTTTCATTGGTTCAAAATATCATGCATTATTACTGTTACTTTGATTGTTTATGATTATTTCTTTCATAGAGGAGCACCGACAATTTAGTCCATTGTGCGGAGCATACGCTAGAAGTCTCTCAAGCGCTTTCTTCGAGTCAAAGGGTGCACGATGATTTCAGTGACACCAAAATGTTGAGAGTGTGTTTGTTCGGAAAGTCTGAGAACATTGTTGTTTTCAAGTGTTAAGGCCTTTTCACACTGCACTTGCTTTTCTCTGTGTCTCCGTGCGGAAGTGTGCAGGGACCAAAGCCACGGAAAGCGAAGTTTGGACAGTGGGATGCGTGGGTGTCATATTGTCACCCAGCATGACACGACGTCGCTGTGCAATGCAAGGAAACACCAATTGCCTATTTCCACAAGTCGCCAAACCTCACAGTATACAGTATTGGTGCAATTAAAAAAAACAAAAAACAAAAAACGAATGAGCGCCATCAATGGTATGTTAAATAAATCCAAATGATGAATGAAATGGAAAGAATGAACACGAAACGTTGAAGACTCTTAAACATAATCACGTGCATTTGTATCCGGCAATTGCGCATTCTCCCAGTTGGCTTGGGTTCCGTTTTACATGACCATCATGGTATTCTGCAGCTGTTGGAATAATTGCATTCTACTTTCATTTGTGGAGATCTGCAAGTTTCATGACCAGAAAGGAAAAAAAAAAAAAAAAAAAAAGATCTGAAATTGACCGTATATTATTGTAAAGGTACTCATGGATCTCTGCTGGGTTTTTCCTCAGGAAGTTGGCGTTCCGGTTTGTTTCAGAGTAAAAGTGCATCTCCATCACTTGATAACCGATAGGGCTGTCTTTATGCCGCCCATTTTTTTTTTTTCCTTGTCAGAAAAACACACACGCATGCAGAGAGTAATTTGTGGAAATAGGTCAGTTACTTTTTACCTGCGGGGCTGTTGGTGACCAGGCTACTGTGACGACACCTCTTCGCCCTCCCGCCTTCTACCTACCGTCGACTAAAATTTGTTTTTGTGTCACCGTTTTTAAGATTTTCTTTTTTGCGTCATTGTTGGAGTCCAAACTGTGGCCCGTGGGCCATTTGCAAGTGTCGTTCCTTTTAAGCGACCAATGGCGGATGCGAGAAGGAACATTTGACATTTGCAGACTGCAATGCTACTTTAAAATAAGAGGGGCCGGGCTTTATCAAAATGTAGGGATGGCGACACCCATTTCACCCATGGGTGCTACGCCTTTGACAACTCCAATTCCTACTTGTCCATTTTTTATATTGAGTTATTGTAGAAATACGAAGATGAAAAGAGATTTTTAACCACTAAAAATGTAACTCATTTTCTCTTGAACGCGCCCTGGTGAATAAAGCACTTTTTAGAAAAGAACTTTGTGCTTGTTTGACTTGAGAAGATATCAGGTTAATGATCCTAAAGAAACTGCTTTAATAAAAGAATCTTGTTTTGCTCCTGACTATGGATCCACTTTCCAGCCACTTCTCACCCTGAAGTGGGATGCCAGGCTGTGGGAAACCACAAAACAACTGAAAAATCGTCCCAAATATTTTTAAAAAATTCAAAGGTGTGATCTGTCAGTATGATTGGAATGAAGACAATATGGAACGTTTTGATTAATTGGTTATAAAGTGTTTTTTAAACAAAAAAAATATATTTTAAAAAAATAAATGATCATTATTAGATCCCCTGATGTCACTTACAATTGAGATTGAGCAGAACAGGTACGTCTCATGAAAAATAAAATAAAATTACATCCATAGGATAAAATAAAAGACAATCCTACCATTTTATTTAATCAGGTCAGCCCTGCAAAAAATAAAAATAAAATACAAGTTTGAGGTAAAGTCATGTCATCTTCTCTCAACCCAGAAGGTGGCCGGCTAAAATTCGTGTCCATTTACGTCTCAGAAACAAGGCTTTCTTTCCTGTCGTCTTTCTTTCCCTTGCAGATTGTCAGTGCCGACGACGGGCGCGATGGTGTTAGACGAAGATGTAAGCTAGGTGGCCGCACCACCACATGAATCGAAATCGACCGAGCGAGCGAGCCTTCGCAGCCACACACGCGCGCGCGGGTACCGTGCCGAGCGCCCGGGCATCTTCAGCACGCGCAGCCGAGCGGAGGGAGCCCTCACCCGGCCACAAGAAGCGCACGCTCCGCCCGGACTCTTTCCCCAAACCGCCTCCCCTTGACTCGCGTGCACACGCACGGAGTGAAAAGTCGTCATCTCTTCGGAGGTTTGCTTCTTTTTTTTCTGACGGGCTCGCCAAGGTTTTTTTTTTTTTTTTTTATCTTTTTTTTTTTCTTTTTTTTTTTTTTTTTAAACAATCGCAAAATAACCCTCCAAAATGTATAATTTTGCCTGAGCTGAGGTGTGTGCAGTTTCATGTTTCCACGAATGTTGGGAACATCAACCGTCCTTTTTGGTCCCTCTCTTTTTTTTTTTGGGGGGGGGGGGTGGAGGGTGGTCCAGCGACTTTAAACCAGGAACCCGCTTGTGAGCTTTCTTCCCCCGCTGAGGATGAGAGGAAATTAGACGTGTTGATCGAGGCTTTGAGCTTGTTTTACTGGGATTTATTTTGGCTGTGGCGAGCAAAGACCCGGAGCGGAGCGGAGCTGCGCGTAAAGAAAAAAAAAAAAAAAAAAAAAAAA